TTGCGGAATTGATTGAGTTTGGCATGTATCCCCAAAATGTCGGATCAAATAGTTGAAGGTTTTCACCTCACCTGCTCTTATTTTGCAGCTTCCGGATAAAGGGGATGTATCAACCCAATTAGCAGCGCATAGTAGACTGTAAGGGGGTTTATTGCTTTGTGGATGTAAAGGAGCACACGAAAATCGGCACTTTAATTTCTGGATACTCAATAGCACTACCGGCTCGTACGTTTTTACATTCGTACTGTCACTATCAAAAACTCAACTCAAAAACTCGTCTATCGCAGAGAGCAATTTTTTGGCTAGTCCCCTTGACGATATGCGCGAGTAAATAAACATATACGGGGTGATGCCAAATCCGAAATATATTCTGATGTATGCTCATAATAATAATTATAATTAAATATAGTGGGGTTATCTGAGAACTTAACAGTTTTCAAGAATATACCGTTACTATGTGGTATGAAATCACCATGAAAAATGAGAATTTAAACTTTTTATGTTTTTTTACCACTTTAATTTGTAACTAACATTACTGCAGTGAAAATGTCCTTATAGAACGAAACTGCAGGCGCTTCAAACTGAGCCATAGTTAAGAAAATTATTTTGTAATCTCACAAACTTCCTCTCGTTCATTGGTGTTGATTCAAGATACATTGGGTTGAATTTCCTGTTGTTATGTTGACAACATTGGAAACGCGGTGAGCGCTTTTGTACCTTTGTTGCTGACAGATGTCAATGATTAATTAGTCCGTAGTTTTTCATGTGCTTGGTTCTACCGATGTTCATACATGTGATCATTGTGTGATTAATAAAACATAGTTCAATATGTTTTTAAGGTTTATGTTAAAACCTTGTTGCAACTCGATACCGACATAACATAGGCGACGAGTAAATTGGAACTGTGTCGTCCGTAGAACGTAATTTGAACCAACGTGTTTAACTATTACAAATGGAATCTTCAGAAAATAGCTCTGAGGTAGAAGGAAAAGCAAACTATGAATTGCATCATCCTCGTCGGATTGCAGTTTTGGGACACGTCGATCCTTATGTGCCGTCTCTTTAACCGTTTCAAAACTACCTCGACAGGCTTGAGGCATTTTTCGACTTGAATGACACTGGTGAGTCGGATAAAGTTAACTCCCTTGTGGTGCTTATCGGTCCCGAAATGTACGGGTTCTTAAGAACTTATTATCGCCTGCGAAACCTAAGGACAAGACGTTTGACCAACTCTGAGAAATAATTACGCACCAGAAGGCATTGAAGTAGCCAAACGTTATAAATTTCATTGTCGAAACCAGGGGATAAATGAATCCATTCGTGACTTTGTGGTCGCAATTAAGAAATTGTCCACGACATGTAACTATGGCAATTTTCTCAATGAAGCCCTTCGAGACCAGTTAGTTTTTGGAATCCGGGACTCCGTGATTAAAAAAAGGTTGCTGTCTGAAAAAAACCTTGTAGGCTAAGCTTTCAAGTCTCCATTGAAATGGGGAACGTCAAATCGTGGCAGCTTTACATTACTTTGAGTCATATTTCCATTAGATGAAGTAGAAATTTGTCAAAAAAAGGCTTGAAAAATTGTTTTGATTGAATAATATTTTTTATCACTTACAACTCGTTTATTATTCTCCTCTTCTTTAACCACGATTTGCCATCGCAATTTGTAACAAAAGAGACAAATGTTCAACCTTTTATTGAGAGAAAGTGTTTTTAATTCAAAAAATAACGTTGACACAGTCTGAATCAACGAGATTTTGAAATTGTTTCAGTCAAAACTATTTCACTTATTTATAGAGAAAATATCAAAATGTGCTTTGATAATCGTAAATAGAAGTATAGTAATTAAAATTTGGGAATATTCACCAAAGAACGCAAATATTCTGCGAGATTCCTTTTTTTTCTCAGAGCGGGACAAAAAAGAAGGAAAAATAAAAACGTAGCGAGAGTGGCCGGTGACCATTATATTTACGTGTTAATATGAATAATTTCCAATGTTTATTGCCTTGTTTCAGTCTAAAATTAATTCTATACTGAGTCAAATTCCCAATACTAGAGCGTACCTAGATAATATTATTATTGGTGGCAAAACTTGGGACGAATGCAGGTTTTCAGTGGAGCAAGTGTTCAACCATTTGAATAAGTACAATGTCAATTTAAACGTAGATAAATATAAATGGTTCAAGACTTCGATCGAATTGCTTGGTTTCTGTCTGGATGGGCAAGGTTTGCGCCCTTCCCCTTCCAAAATTTTAGCTATCCAAATCGCGCAGGTACCGAAAAATATATCCGAGCTAAATTCTTTCATTGGATTGATAAATTTTTATCACAAGTTTGTCAATATGTCAGTTGATTTACTGGGACCATTGTATGAATTGACAAAAAAAGATGTATCATGGTTCTGGTCTCAAGAATGTGATAAGGCTATTGATAAGGCTAAGTCGTCGATTTGTAAGAAATATTTTCTATTATTGTATGATCCTGAGAAACTCCTGATATTGACCACCGATAGTAGTAGTTACGGTGTTGGAGCAACGTTGGCTCACCTTATAAACGGTGTGGAGCAGCCAATTGCATTCGCCTCCACAACACTTTCACCTGCCGAAAGAAACTATTCTCAAACTGACCGTGAAGCCCTTTCGTTGGTGTTTGGTGTCAAACACTTCCACAATGTTTTGGCAGTACGTCACTTTACTTTGGTAACAGACCACCAACCACTTCGCTCTATTTTTGGAGAGCGAAAAGGTATTCCGTTGGTTGCCAACGCTCGTCTTCAGCGTTGGGCTATCATCTTGTCAGCCTACAATTATCAGATCAGGTACAAAAAGGGTTCGGAAATTTCATATGCCTACGCCTTGTCCCGCCTACCTTTTAAAGGTTCAACAAACGTGCCTGAGTGTTTTTTCATTTCCGACGATTTTGAAAATGAATTTGTTACGTTCAGGCTACCTCTCAGGATGATGTTATCTCCAAAGTGTGCCAGTGGGTCTAAAGTAGAAAGCCAATATTCAGTTTTTTTCAAAAACAAATTTTGTCTGTCAGTCCAAGAAGGTTGTTTATTATTTGGTGCTAGGGTTGTCATTCCTTTGTCGCTACAATCAGATATTTTGAACATATTGGTATAGTAAGGAACATATTGGTATAGTAAGGACGAAATTACTTGCCAGATCATATGTCTGGTGGTCTGGTATGAACCGAGACATAGAACAAAAAGTGACGACGTGTGTAACGTGTCAACTCACTCAAAACGATTCAATTCCACGTATCTATGTTCCCTTGCCAAATAGCCAAGGACCATGGAGACGACTGCATTTGGATTTCCTGGACGCATTTAAGTGTAAAATCCTTCTGTTGGTCGATGAGTTCAGCAACTGGCTTGAAGCTTGGATTTTGACCCAAACGTCAGCCTCAATGGTATGCGAAAAATTGCAAGAATGCTTTTTAGGTTTGGTCTTCCTCAATATGTGGTGTCCGATAATGGGCCCCCATTTACATCTAATGAACTGAAGTCATTTTTCAAAAAACATAACATCGAACATGTGCACCGTACCATCCTGCTTCCAACGAAGAAGCAGAACGTAGTGTACAAACTATAAAAAAACTACTATTGAGATCAGTAGTAGCCAAAAGTTCAGCGAATGATTTACCGGGGAAGTTATATGATTGCTTATTATCTTACAGATATACTCCCTCATCGGTTACAAAGAAATCTCCTTCAGACATGATCTTGGGATTTAAAGCTTGAAACCCCGTCAGTATGTTGTCTCCGGCTGATAAGGTGTTATCAAGGGATGAGTTAAGCGAAATTCAGACTAGGAGTTTGACAGTTAGAAATTTTGAAATCAATGACAAGGTTCTTGTCAAAAATCATAAGAAAGGTATATTGAAATGGATTAGAGCTCGGATGATGAAGCAA